GACATCATTCATATATACTTTGACTTCGCTCTGTTCTCTCTTACTTGCTAAAGCCAAAACATGACCAACAAATCGACGCTACATCCTTTTAGGTATTCAACAGGAGTTTGGCATCGGCACCCATGACGCATCTGTCACACGGCCAACATGCTTCTTTGGTTTTGAGGGTGAAGAGTCAAGCCTGGATGACCCAGAAGCATGTGGTTGAGTATGGTACATGGGCGTTGTAGTTTTTAAGGGGATAGCTCGAAAATGGTACACGGGCAATGTAGCATAAGGGGATAGCTTGAAAATGGTACACGGGTGTTGTACCTCACAAAACCGAATAGTAGGAAGTAATTACAGAGCATACAGACAAATCATGTAATCTGTATGATCTTTGACGTTGGTATATGTAAATGTAAGAGTTTAAGCTGCAGGGTCTTGCCAGTCAGACTCGGCTGCCCACATAGGCCTACCCTCCCCCATCTGGCATTACTTCCTTAAAAGCTGCAGCAGCGCCCCCCCACTGGATGAGGCAGTACCTTCTCCTCACTGAGCTGCTTGATGTGCTGCCGCAGCTCCTGCAGCTGGCTTCGGGAAGGCAGGCTCCCGGTGGGGATGTAGTACGGGGTGGCACACAGCTCCTCACACAGCTCCTCGTCCTGCTGCTGCAGGCTCCGCATCTCCTTCAGACGGTCCCCTTTCTCCTTCAGCAGCGTCTCCACGCGCAGCCGCAGGTCTTTCTCCAATTGAAGCACCGTGAGGTCGTCGTCCACCTGGGGGTGTGCGCGCAGCGGCCCCATTACGACCCTTCAGATGCAAGGCTGAGCTTCCGAGGACCTCATTTGAGCACTTACTGCTACCCTGTGGCTTCCCTTTCTATTGCTTGCTATTTAAGAATGTGACTCATCCCGACATAAATCAGAAGAAAGGAGATGGTCCTTCGGCTACAGGACTGAAAGATCATCCTTAGATCTGCGTTTGGACTCCTGCACTCACTTTATAAGGCTCCAGGGACATTTCCTGATAAAGAGTCTCCAGCTGCTTGCGGAAGGAGATGATGTTGGCTTCGATGCGTTTTTTCAAGGCCTCCTCTTCTGTGATCATTTCATTCAGAAGACCCTGGTGGGAAGGGCGGCATTACACAGAATGAGACTTCCATAAATCTGAAGCAGATTTTTATCACTTACCAACACCCATAAATCAATCTGAGCTGAGAACACCACTGCCTCACCTCAATGTGTTTTTTCACAGTCTCCATCCTCTCCACCCTCTGGTCCTCCAGAATGCCAATGCTGTCCCAGATGTCCACCAGCCTGGCCATGGCCAGGTTGATGCCAGTCACCAGTGAGAACACTAGAGCTTCGCTGATTAGGGAAGTCATGAGACAGGGATCAGCAACCGAAGGCAAGACTTATATTCTGAGCCAAAATCAATTATCCACGGAGACTCAAAGCCACTTTCGAAAACTAAATGCGACACGAGCGCATATTGTGGTCAAATTGAAACTGAGGATGCCCCTTCCTCGTTTAAATAGGACGTCGATAAAAAAAAAAAGCATTTATAGAAGTTTATAAGTTCATCCGGGAACCTCGGCGTGAGTAAACACACGTCACCTGAAACTCCGGAGGCGAACTTAAGACAGGTAGACAGCGGGGCCTGGTGGATTAAATTCTGGTGTTGTCATCGGTATCAAAGTAATGGATACTAAGAATAAAAAAATTCCCCAATACGCCAACTGCAATGGATATGGCGAACATGCTCCGGCGACCAACGGCCCCAGCGACCCGGCCGAAGGCCATGTGGCGCCCCACGCGAGCTTCACCGCCTGCTCCGGGTTTGGGTTTTAACCAGCTCGGTGTAAACAGGCAACATAACAGGGGTGTGAAACGGGAGGCCTGCGAACCGCTGAAACGACCAATATAGCAGACTTACCTCCTTCGACTTGACATCATAGTAAAATCGGGATCGAATTCAACTTGTCCAGCGACCTAATTTTAATTTATTGGGAGAAACCCCCAAACCCGCCTTTCTCTCACTAAGCCGCCAACTGATTTTAAAATGTTTGGGTGTCAGAAACAGTCGCGCTGATTGGACGCCGCTCCACCAATAGGAGTCCGTCATTCGGCTCCTGTCACGTGTGAGGATGCGTTTTGCATTCCGCAGCCGAAGATACGAAAACATTGTGGGACGTCCGTTCATAATTTATTATAAAAAAAATGCACATTACAAATATATAAAAAAGTGGAAGTAAAAAACATGCACATAGTTAAACTAAAATACTTTAAATATTGTATGTTTAAATGTTGTTTCTTTTGTCGCGTCCCTAAAACACTCGACCTAAACTCCACAAGTCAGTAAAAAGTCCGTTTATATTACTCAAAAAACCAAGAGAGGGGAAGCCAGGTCGCACGCCAGATAATACTTTGGTGGAATAATACTCCTCTAATTTATATTTTTCTTTTATTCATGTAACTTCCTTAGAATGACCAGACGATGGCGGCAGTGAAACGCACAAAGATTGAAGAGATTCAAGATTTTTTTGTTTGTCACATACATAGTTATACAACTACAACGTGTAGTGAAATGTACCCTGATTTGGTCCTGAGGCTGTGCAATAAGGTTTTGTAATTTAAAGATATATATAAAAAAGGTAAGATTAAATGTACTGAAAATATATAGAAAAAAATAGATATACACCATATTGCCGCAAGTGTTGAGACACCTGGCTTTACACACGCATGAACTAAAATGACATCCCATTCTTAATACATAGACTTTAATATGGAGTTGACCCACCCTTTGCAGCTATAACAGCTTAAACTCTTCTGGGAAGGCTGTCCACAAGGTTTAGGAGTGTGTTTATTGGAATTTTTAACCATTCTTCCAGGAGGGCATTTTTGAGGTTAGGCACTGATGTTGGACGAGAAGGCCTGGCTCGAAGTCTCTGCTCTAATTCACCACAAAGGTGTTTTATCGGGTTGAGGTCAAGGCTCTGTGCAGGCCAGTCGAGTTCCTCGACAGCAGATTCACTCATTCATGTTCTTATGGACCTTGCTTTGTGCACTGGTCATGTGGGAACGGGAATGGGCCATCCCCAAACTGTTCTCACAAAGTTGGAAGCATGAAATTGGCCAAAATGACTATCAATGCTGCAGCATTAAGAGTTCCTTTCACTGAAACTAAGGGGCCAAGTCCAACCCCTGAAAAACAACCCCACACCATAATCCCCCCTCACCAAACTTTACACTTGGCACAATGCAGTCAGGCAAGTACCTTCTTCCTGGCAACCACCAAACCCAAACTCGTCCATCGGATTGCCAGACAGAGAAGCGCAATTTATCACTCCAGAGAACACGTCTCCACTGCTCTACAGTGCAGTGGCAACATGCTTAACATCACTGCATCTGAAGCCTTGCATTGTACTTGGTGATGAAAGGCTTGGATGCAGCTGCTCGGCCATGGAAACCATGAAGTTCTCTATGCACTGTTCTTGAGCTAATCTGAAGGCCACACAAAGTTTGAAGGTTTGTAGCTATTGACTCTGTAGGTATTTGGTGGCCAAGGTGCTTGATTTTATACATCTGTGGCTATGGAAGCGATTGGAACACCAGAATTCAATGATTTGAAGGGGTGTCCCAATACTTTTGGCAATATATAGTGTATAGCCAAATAACATTCTAATTATAGGCAATATCTGTACAATGTGCAATATAATAGAATAGATTATGTATACAGACGCTCCTCTACTTACGAATGAGTTACATTCTGAACGGCCGTTCGCAACTTGAAATGTTCGTAAGTCGTTATTCAACATCATTTTAAGGGTATACGCAAGTACTAAGAACTAGGGTGCTGGCAGTACGCACACTATGCTGCTGCATGGTGGGAGTAGCGGCCAGAAGTCGTACTAGGTGGAACTGGCGTACAGAAAGAAAAAATTGATGTTGCGGACAGGAAACTGGAGCCCAAGGAACACAATTTGGACTTACAGTCCTCTTCAGTTGGAGGCAGTTCTCCTGATGTCTCCGTGATGTCAGGTTCTCCGCCTCCTCTCTGTAAGCTGTCTCATCATCGTTAGAGATGAAACCCTGCACCATCAGCAAATTTGACAATGGAGTTGAAGCTGTGTGTGGTCACACGGTCATGTGTGTATAAAAGGCATAGAGCAGAGGGCTAAGTACACAATGGTGTAATGTGAGTGTAATGGTGTTGAAGACACAACCACCAACTCTCACCACCTGTGGTCTGCCTGTGAGGGAGCTGAAAACCCAGGGACACAGACAGATGTTCAGCCCCAGGTCCCTCAGCGTGGCGAACAGTCTATGCTGGACTATATTTGAATCGATGGATAAATACAATACTAAAATATCCAGAGCTGTAATTCAGTGTGTCACCACGGTCACTTAGGAAGTAAATTTGTCAATCTGTTCACCTGTTGTCATGGAGAATTCAAACAATCTCTTCCACATTGATGTGGATGTCTTATCACCTTGTTATGGTAGCCAAATATTGCCTTTAGCTGCGTCAAGTGACCATACGCTTTGGTTTATCTGATTCTCACACTCTGGAGGTAAAACAAGCAGAGCCGGCCTGCCCTTCTCTGGATGCTTAGGAGAAATATCTCAGCCAGTCAGGGCAGAGAGGAAATCCCAAGTGGAGACCCACTAATACCAAAGAGATCCTGAAACTGTACAGTGGCTGGTGGACTTGCGACCATAAAGCTTCAGGTGCACGTGTCTGGACAGGAGGGGTCCAGCCGTGGAAGCCTCTTCACCAGGGCGTTTAATCAGAGAGGCCCAAGCAAGTAACCAGGTGAATAATTAAAGCGCAAAATGGTCTCTGCACTTGCTTTTTTGCACTGTAAAGGCAAGAGAGACGTGTTTAAGTTCTGCTTTGCGCTGAAGAAAGTGTACAAAGGGCAGGTTTGTTAAGCTGTGGACAGGCAGGTCTCCAGAAGCTCCTGAACTCAATGCTCTCCGGTGCTTAGCGGCACAAAAAAGTAGCTTCACATAACATAAGGTCCAAAGCTAATTTAATACAAGAATTTTATTAACAAAATTTAGACAAATTATTAAGATCAATGGAAAACCTGACAAAAATAAAAAAACAGCATAGTATGTACTTTATGAGTATTTATTCTAAACAACATGTAAATATCCGGTTAACATGATCACATGGTACTACACAAACTAATTTCAATAACAATTACAAAAAATGGATTTATAAAATGCTGATCTGAAATTACAGCTGGCACATTCTCTGATCTTGGTACACATCTCCCTCGTCATTGTTTCCCCAGCTAGGTACGGAGCCCAATTCCAGCACTTCCAGTACATTGAAGCCACTTAATACTGTCAGAGAAGCTCTACCTGAGTGCAATCTTAGGACATCGAATTCAAGAACAAAGAACAAGAGTTCAGAACAAAGAAGTGGAAAATTAACTTTGCCATTTTACTGCAAGTGTTTAAATAAGGTGAAGCTACTTTCAACACAAACGTCGCGATGGACATAATGCGCCATTTGGGGTCCCAGTGCATGTCAGTCATGGTGTAAGTGTGTGTCTATGCTTGAATGAAAGAGGACCGTCTTGTGCGATTCTGAATTGAAGGTCTTCTCCGAATACTGAATTCTTGCTAAGATTTCCCAAGGTCCTGGATAATGCCTTCCCCGCAAAGGCACGCAGGGCCTCGTGGTTACCTGAGACATGACGCTCTTGGGGAGCCGTGGGGTTCAATGCACACCAAATGATGCTACTAGCTTAAATGATCCAGGAAACTGAGCTCAGAACGTTGAGCAAAAAGCAGGTGCCACCTGGAGGCTGAGGGCGGCATGCTAACTTCACACCCCAGTCAAATGGTGCCACGTGGGAGTGGCAGAGTGCAGAGAAAGTAGGAACACAACCCTCACTACTGATCACCGACACCTGCTGCTGCATGACATGAAACCGCATGATGGTAACTGTGATGGGTGGCCGAGATATCAGGACCAATCAGGATCTCCCTTGCTGGGTGGATGCTCATTTTCCCTGCCAATAGGATGCTCCATGTGACAAATTAGGGAGTTCCGTTGTGTTGGCAGGTAACAAAGACAGCAAACAAAACACCATATGATTCTGTCTTCAATGGGTTACATGAATGTCATTGTATGTAAAGCCTGTGATGCTTTTGGGAAAACACCCTGAGCTGTAGGGGCCAGTCTGCACAGAGAAGGGCCATCTCATGCAACAGAGCCATTTTAGGGGCTCCAATAACATACAGAGCTTGATATTAACTCTTTTAGCAGGTATGTTATAATAAAGTTAATTTTGTCTAGCCTAGCTTTTTAAGACATAAAAGTCAATAAATACTGTCTCTTTCTCAAAGATTTAAGTTATGATTTTCTTAGTACTTGTAAGTACTAGAGTAAGGTTACAAAAGGTAATGTTTGAAAAGTAAAAAAAGTTCTTACAAAACTAGTCAGACTCAGAAACAGATCATAGGAAGAAGATGACTTCAGTAAAGAGAACAAGGAGTATTAATTCCTGGTCACATCTGACTATCCTGTCTTCCGGTCTGAAGAGACTCGTTGCAGCTTGCGGCCTGGCTCTCTACAGACGAATCACCGACTGCGGTCGCTTTGTCCTGGGCGGACAGAACTGCGCTATGCACGGTGTGGAAAAAGAGGTTCTGAATGTCCTTGTCTGCAGTTCCAAAGAAGGAGCCACGTTTCAGAGAGTCGATCACGGAGGGATTGCAGCACGCCAGCACCACTCGGACTCCCACCCCCTTGTAGTCCTTTACTACCCCCTTCAGCGTGAGCATGCCAGTGGTGTCGATGAAGGGAATGGACGAGCAGTCTAGGACGAGCGTGTGGAAGGCCAGCTCTCGTGACACCAGTCCTAAGGCAACGTCACCATTAGTTTTATCTGAGCTCTTCCTTTCGGTCTGCTTGTTGGCCAGTGCCTTCATCTTCTTCTCAGCCTTCCTCATCTTGGTGACCTCCAGGAATGGTTCCAAGTCTACTGCTTTGTAAAGTGACTTGAGAAAGAACTCCTTGTTGGCGTAATACAATGGGGCCTGGAAACGGAAGATCTTGACTTTGGGCAGAGTCAGAAGGTCACTGTATTCCTTGACATCTTCATAGTGGCTGGTGTCCGGGATCTGACCCAGCAGGGTCACTCTGGGGTTCTGTGTCCGGACAATTACGCAGAGCATGGAGAACACCACCCCAACCAGGAGTCCGAGCTCCACACTGAGCAAGGCCGAGGAGCTCATGGTGACCATCCAGACAGTGGCGTCCACCTTATTGACGCGCCACTGACTGGGAACATCTCGGAACTTGCGCAGAGCACCTCGCAGGCTGACGATGATGATGCAGGCCAGGACACACTTCTGCAAGGAGTAGAATAACGGGGCGAAGACCAGCAGGATTAGCAGGACTACAAAGGCGCTCACTACACTGGACACCTGTGTCTGGCAGCCAGTTGAGTCCTTCACCATGGTCTTCGCCAGGGCAGCACTGGTGGTGAAGCAATGGAAGAAGGAAGGAATGATGTTGCAGAAGCCAATGGCCAGCATCTCTTGGTTGGGCCGAACCGTGTAGCCATTCTTCTTGGCAAACATTTCAGATAATGAGACTGTAAAGGCAAAGCTGATCACAGCCATGGGGATGGCGTCAAATGCCACGTTGGGCATGAGCTTGAAGCTGGGCACCTTTGGCGGGATAAAGCCTGTGGGGATTGCTCCCGAGATACTGGAGTTGTACTGGCCATTGAGGTTGGCAAAGTGAGACACCAGTGTGGCCACTGCCACTACCACCAACTCGGTGGGCAAGGGGATCTTCAGACGGTCCTTGAAGCGATCCTGAAGCTCCTTCCCAGCCACCAGCACGGCAATGCAGATGGCACTGGTGATCATGTCACAAAAGTTCGTTTGGTGGATGCATTTAAAAATGCTGATCCAGGTGACGATGACAGTTCCATAGCCTTGGTGTCGTGGAATCTTCAGCCCAAGGAGATACTTGGCTTGCACAGTGAGGATAGTGACCGAGGCGCCCGTTGCAAAGCCATCAAGCATTGGAGCAGAAAGGTAGACAGAGACAAAGCCTAACTGTAGCAAAGCCATCAGAACCTGCATGAACACAAATCAAAAATACATCATCATATGAATCAAGATTAGTTTGCACCCTAGGGATAGGTTGACAGCCACTGGCTGAAACATAGCGTCACACTACCTGGTAAACTCCTGCCAGAAAGGTGAGAGCCACTGCAACACTGATGGCATAACACTCCTTGCCACACTCGGAACTGTAGATGCCTAGGGTCAGGTTGTCTGCAGTGGATGCTCCAGTGCCATTCCATGAGCCCATGGGGCCCGACTTGCTGTCCTCATTCATGTCAAACCCTGCCAGGAAGAGCTCCCTGTCCACAACCTGTCCTACCATCAAGCTCATGAGGCTAAAGATGCCTACGGACACATGCTTGGAGGTGCCCAACAAAAAGTAGATGATGTTGGCAAAGAAAGAGGTATAGAGGCCGTAGATTGGCTCCAAGCCAGCCAGCAGGCAGTAGGCAATGGCTTGAGGGACCAAGATGATACCTACAATGAGTCCGGACATGACATCACCCCACACATACTCCTTCAGCTTGTACCTGGGAAGCCAGACTACCACAGGGAAGAAGTCCGTCAGAACCCGCTTTAGCCGGGTTGCTGAGCAGGACAGACTCTGGCTCAGCTTGGCTCGGATCGCCTGCTTTGGGTCGCGTCGCCTCCGCACCCTGCGCTCCAAGTGGACCACCTCGACCAAGTTCTGGTCCGCCATGACTTCTGGGAACGACTGCCGCTCTGCGTGACGGTCAGCCTTGCTCCTGAACAAAGACACAGAGCAGACACATCTTACCCATTTTTGATCATTAACTCGGACAATCCACTGGGAAGAATTTTTAACCATGGCTTGTAACGCTATATCTAAATCACATGGATGTGGCCTCGGAGAATCCCCTGAAGTATGTTATTTTAGTCATTCATTAATGGCTTGAACATCATCTTTCCCCTGGACCAAACCAATGCTCATATTTAATAAATGTTATTCGTAAATACATTGTGGAATGAATTTGGTGATAAATAAAGGATTATATATAAATGCCATCAAGGATTTGTAGTAGCACTTTGAGAATAGCATTCCTTGGCTATTGTTGCATGCCTTTCTTCATGTTTCATAAATGCCTCTCTGGACTGTTGTTAATGACATCACACCAGTGCTGTTAATCAAGCTTCCATTAATAAAAGGTAATAAAGGTAAGACGTTTTACGACATGGAAATTCAACCAACACTCCCTTTCAAACGATGCCTGACGGTATACCAAGGCACTCCTTTGGAGTCTACGCAGGCAGCAGTGGCCACTGGCATCCATGGTGTCCATAGAAACCTGTCTTTTAGCAGACCATTAAATCCCAATGCAAACACAGGAAATAGCGTCACAGCTGTAATGCTCATACCCCACGCGCATTGGATCATAAATGTCAGCGTCGCTAGTGACGGAGAACCGGTGGCGTATGGAGAGAAGAACACCTCGCATTTTCTGCACCGATATCCAGCTGCGGGTGACGTTTGACGATCGAGGTATGCGGACTTAATGGCATGCGAGCAGGAGATCCGAAATGCGTGCCTGATGGAGTGTCACATATGAAGAACACAAAAACAAATTGGGAGTCTCGAAATCTACTGTCACATGGGTGTTGCCGGGCCAAAAATGCCTCCTGTTAAACAAGAAAGTCAACTCACATACTACAAAGTGATACATGCACAAACAATCCTGAACAAATATGGCATTTGTGTCACAAAGCATAAAGATAAGCATGGATACAGCTGTCTTTTTCCCTCCAGACTATTGAGGGTTGTCCTTAACTAAATGCTGCTTGTTACGACACTTAAGTCTATAGTGATAGTCCCTTTAGTCTATAGTCATCCATTTTTTAAAAAAAAACACACACAATCACCCACTGTGGGCCTCACTTGGGGTAAACGAAGACCAGTAAACTGTCACGGTTAGCTGAAAGAGAGAACTTTCGTCACGGTGCCAACTAAAGGACCGGCACCTCCCCTTATGTCGCCTCAAGGCGACAATGTTGCTGCAGGAAATCTATGAAAGGCCTTGGTCACAAAGCATCACGGAACAGAGGGTCAGCAGGTTCACCCAAACGTGCCTTGTGAATTTCAATTTGGAGCTCTGGGGAAGTCGGTTTCTTAGGAGAGTCTGGCCACACCTGAGAGTGCAGGGACTGAGCATCCTTACCTTGAGCTGGAAGAGGGAAGAAGCTCCAGAGGAGAAAAATAAAAGATAAAAGCTTTCTCGGGGAAATTTAAACTCACCCACACGACTCGTGGTGCACTCTCGGAGGTAAAGCCAACGGTGGGCCTGTGACTCAATCTGGTGGTGGAGGGCAGCCAAGATTGGGATTCTGGCACACACTATTACAAACTCACCTCTCTCCAACTACGTCTCTCAGTATCTTACAGGCTGACCTGCAAATCTCCCTTACTTTCGTTCTCTCTTTCCCTCTCTGTCTCCTTTCATCGGCACCTGTCACGCTCCCTTACATATTCAAATATTCCCACATGCCTTCTTTTCTCGCTCTGCCGGTCCCTCCAGCTCAAGCTCGTGATGGCAGCAGTGTCCCAGGCATAAGTAACATTGGCACAAAGGAAGGTCCCACCCCTCTCCGGCCCAGGAGCCAATCAGAGCGAGCCAGAATCACAGGAGGCTGACCGTTCTTCTTGCTAATGTTGGTTCTAATGAGTCTCGGTTGTTTTTCCTCTTGTTTTATGTTTTTTTTTTCCTTAAACGTGATAGGAATGTAAGTTTGCCTGGTAATGCCTTGTGCAATCTAGATGGGATCAGGGCAATAGGGCGCATGGAGTCAATCGTTCACTGACTGCTTTCATTTATCTCTGACAGCGGTGTGGATGGAGGGTAGCGGTGGGGGGGGTTGCTGCTTTTTAGAAAGGGTCCCCGGAGTTCAGTGTTTCCTGAAAGCATTTAAAATCATCCTATAAAAGGAAGAGCAAAAATAAACAACAGACTCAGTCCCAGATCAGGGGGGCGTGGTCCCGTTCATAACATCTAGGTGGCTCACCAGCTCTTTCAGCTGAACTGAAGGTTTGGGAAAGGCCACCATTCAACCTGATCTCCTCCCACACGCAGGTGACCGTCTGTTAAGCCTTCCTTCCTGGTGGACAGACATTATCTCCGATGGATCTGCTAATCCGCAGAGCTGTTCCTGTTCACAGGAGTTCGGCCACGTTACATCAAATCAATACAAGAAACAAGCGAAATCCCCGAGCAGGAGATGCCCCTGAGCAAGGGGGTGGCTGCCATAGAAGCCAAAACTCCCAGGTGGGTGTTGCTGCTGCAGCTCAGGAGTTCCACCAGATAACCTGCACAGGCATGTAGTGTACGTCACTAAGGATAATATCACCCCTTAACTGAGTGCCACACCACAGGCTACGGGCATACCTCAGTGAGTGCCCCTCCCCCAAGTTCCACTGACTTTGAAATATGGTCACGTGGTCTGAGTGACTGTGCAGTGACAGTGACTGGCCATATAACAAAATTTGTCTGAAGGACTCCCTGAGCGACCATGTCACATGACATCTGACAGCATTATGTGTAAGAAGTCGGTGAACGTCGCTGGACAGCTTCCCCAGTGTTTACACAACGTCATTCCCAGATATTACACGGCGTATCCAGTCTCTAGTCTTACCTTGGGACCAAATCCTGCGAATGGCTACTCCACGCTACAGCTACACACTGCATTTGCCAATAGAAATATAGCTATTTCAGCATTAGGAATGCCTCACGGTCAGTCTCTGTGCCTCTGTCACATTTGGAGGGATCTCAGGCGTCATGTTGGCCCTGAGTCTTCCCAGATAAAGCTGTTTCTGAGCACGAAAACACCTCCATTCGGGTGCCGATGCTTTCAGTAAGTAGGCTTCATGAATAACCTGTTAAACATTCATTTACTCGAAGCCTGGTTATTACTGAACTGCCCCTGCAGCTGACAGGTCAAACTCTGAGGTGTCACACCGCTAATTGTACGGCTACTCAAGACCTCGGCTGAAGCATGCAGGGCCTGCTGGAGGCCAGCGACACTACAGCCGATGTGCAGCTACGGTCAGCGGGAGCTGCTTTTCAGGGCCCCGACACACCGGCCTTTGTCCGGCCCTGACGCCAACCACCACAAAGCCACCGGTTCGGCCAACTTCGGGTATTAGCACGGGGCCCGTGAGCTTATGACGACACCTCCAAGTCGGACAAGATCTGCCGTTTTACGCACATGAAGAAGCACTGACTAAACACGGACACTTCCCCAATCATTCAGCGGAAACTGGGGAGATAAACAGCCTAAAATAATGACCCTAACAAGCACTCTAAAGCTGTTCTGAAACCAGTGCTGATCTCACTCCCGGACCAACAGCGCCTCATTAGGGAAATCTAACGTTTGTCTTCAGGTTTGTCTTCAGCTCTGCTCTGCAGTATGACTATTTTGAAAAACTGTGCTATAAAGAACAATGCAGAAAAACAGCTCAGACCACTTACTCAAAATGTAAGCTGCAGGATGCAGGTCAAATTAAGCATACCGCAGATAACATGCTGGAAAGTGTGAATGTTTTAACCAAAGAAGCATTTCACCTTTACTCAAACTTCACTGGGTGAAAATCCCAGGCAAAATATCACCTCTGAAAAACATGCGGACACCCATTACCTTAAAAGTCTAACTTTTTACCATGAGTTATGTTAAAAACATGTACAAAGCCATCAAAGCACATACTGGCAGCCCCAAAACTATACCCTCACGTGAAAGTATGACGTAGCCACCACAGCAATCCCAGCATGCAGTGCCATCTACAGACACCCACGGGAGACCTGTGGCTGCTTTTGCCTTAATGGCCTGTTCTGGTCCAGAACCTGCAGTTCACACACAGTCTGACTACTAACTGACCAATGGGTGTACATTATGGGAGGGATGGGGGGGCTTTAGCTCCCCCTATAATCAAAACCAGTGGTGGTGGTGGGCATTAAAAAAACAGCCAATACAACCCCCTTAAATGGATGGACACCTCAAACCCCCCCCCAACCCAAAATTATGCCCTTGGACTTACCACTGACTGGATGACCAATGACTGACCACTAGTTGACCACCTATTAACTGCTGAACAACTACTGACCAACAGCAGGACAACAGGCAGTCCTTTCCTCACTGGCCACTGACAGACCATCTCAGCTGGTACTGCGCCCCACCTAAGCGAAAAACTGGCCCGTCATGAATCGCACCTTTGTGTAATGATGTTACCAGGATATGGCGCTTTAAAACCACTACGGGAAAAAGGAAGCAGACATTTTGCCTGAGTGTGCAGATGAGCACACGGCGCTGCCCGAAAGCCTTATTATTACACATCTGGCCTCGGATTATCCTGCAGGCTACCGATACACACTGACGCAACGGCCCTTCGAGGCAGACAGTGCGTAAATACTGCCAGGCGGAGACGCGTCAGAGGTACCGTGCGACGCGCGGCTTTGCGGTAAATGGCGGTGTAAATGCACTCAGTGATGATCGGCCACTATTCTGACGCTGAAGCGAAGTGTTAAATGTGAAAAGTACAGCAAATGGACAGGTTTCCTGGGCGTCTGCGATCGTTAAAGCCTAACGTTATGTCGAAAGTATGAAAAAGGAAGCAGACTGGATCGTGCGGAGGCGGCATGGACGGAAGCCCGCTTATGGCTGACGTCTGCCCTGCAGTGTTTGGCCGGGTGTGGGTAACATCCCGAGGCGCGTCTCACCCTTCCCCGCGGAGCCCAGTAAGTCTCGGGTGGGTTCCTCAGCCATGCCTTCGGGCCTGGAGACGGAGCGGAGCGGCCGTACACGCCGGGGTCCATGGGAAGGCTAACCCGGCCCACATTATCGTCCAATCAGCGAGGCGGGCTCCGGGGAGGCGGCTGCCCGCAGCCACGCTGCTCGTAGCCGCAGAGACGGTGATGCTGACACGCCGGGGCTGCTTTGTCCCGCGGGGGAGATAAACAGGGCTGCCTTTGGCGCTTTGCCTTTGCTGCAGCGCGCACACAGGGCTGCATTTACTGACGGTGTTTCAATGGACCTTTAATGTCAGATGTACGGTGATCTGTGAGACCTTTCCTAATAAATATGTGCGGTATTTAATGCACCGGTTTAAAAACAGTCGTTATTTGGGTGCTATAGAGACCGATCTCTGACTGTGCAATAAGTCACTTCCTTTGAATTTTTCAAAAAAGAAGCGCAAAAGTTCAAAGGAACTTCATGCCATGTGGTGCGCACCATGCCCTGAAGACTGAATTATACATATCCCCATTCATTCAGATCTATTGAACTCTGTGGTCGGTAAAATAACTCTGAGGTCCTAGGCGGGCTTGTACTTTACGCCACATCAGCTTCCAGCACCGGGCGCAGTTCAGATGTTGTGAAATGATGGGACACAGATAAAATGCGGAGCATGCGGGTTCAGGAGGGGGGCACGACCTCTTACACTCATTAACCCCATACACAGAAAGAGATCCGGCCTGGACGCTTCTTGAGTGTTTAATATGTAGACCTTCCTATGTGCAAAACCAGGAATCGCAGCTCATTCCTCGTAAACGAAATACGGAAAAACTGAAGGAAACTCACGGAACAGGACGCCCAAGCTTATCCTCCGCTCATTCTTTTCAGCGGGCAGGATACAGCCTACATTATTAATGTAAAACTGTTGTGTGCGTTACTGACCATGCAAATTGAGCGTGGTTCTGGCAGTTTATCGCCTGACTTAGAGAGTTAAATTCGATAATACTCAGACTGACCCGACATCTTAAACAACTAAGCAGGCCTACTTGTGTGCCTTTATTCTACTGTTTGTTGATGCGTTTATTACCATCAGGTACTAGCATAGTGCTTACAGAAAGTATTTGGACGCCTGCTGAATTTGGTTAAAAAAAAAAAAAAACACATTTACTGGTTTTATAACAAAAATCATTATTTTATTCACATGTTTACAAAAAGTATGTATCACCTTAGAAACAACCAGTAGTTTTAAGTAAAACATTCATTTCGAGTATGAGAGCTGTGCTGAATTTAAAGGTTCATTCACAGAGTTTCATTGGGTGCTTTTTAATTACCAACACCTTTGCAATAACATAAAACACCAAACATTAGGTTTAATCATCACTTTGGGAGCCAACGACTACAACTGCAATTAATAGCAACATGGCAGCAACAGAACTAAATGAGTCAGTCAAAAAATTATAACACTTAAGAAGAAAATCTGTGTGCAGATGATATGTGCAGATATGTTAAACATTGTTTCTCAATGGATGTTTGTTACGAGACCAATATATTTGCAACATTTTTACAGAATTAATGAAGTGTCCCTGGACTTTATATGAGCACTGCATATGTATAAATGTAGTATAGATACACGTGTTTCCCATGGGATTAATAAACTTCATCTTATATGAAAGTCCATCAGCCCTTGTGTTGCACTGTTTTTGTAAGTCACTCCCTTAAATCGTTTCTTGCTGTCTATATGTCGCACCGTGGGCCTGTGGTAATAGCCCTCTGACTAAATGTTTGTGAGAACCTTATTGTATGAACTTCGTGAGCAGTAATTATTCCCCCATCGCTGTGGAGTGCAAATCTGTGCGTACAAAGGTCTGGCCTAATAGCTAAACTTCCGAAGTAACTGATTTTATTTTCAGGGAACTAATTTTCACAGAAGGTATATATGCTGGTTGAAATAAAGCTGACTGTGATTTTCCTGTTTTTTTCCCACAAATATACATAATTATATTTCACTTAGCACAGCAAGGAAGGCCAAAGTCTGGGTGGTTTTGATGACAGTTGCAGTTTTTTGTATGGGATCATTTCCAGTGAGATGTAGTTTTCGTTTAATCTAAAGCTATTACATGTTTTCACCACACGAGGGCACAATCCTATGTATTAATAACGGAAGTCTTACCCATGAATAAAGTATGAAAACGTCGCAATTGTAGGTGCGCTATTAACTAGCTGGTGGTTCGCTGAACTGAACTTTTTAGAGACGTTCTACGGGATTCTAAAATTCTCTAGTGAGAAATTCGTAATATAATACCTCTTTAAAGAAGGATGTTTATGTGTTGTAATGATAATATCAGCTTTTCTGTTTGTAACTGGAAGTACCTCTCTTTTCCACTGGGGTATTTCTATATATCACTAACCAGATGGGCACCAAGCAGCGCGATACATTTACGTATTTTTACTTAAACTTTTAGACAATTAAGTGTATTTGGTATGAGATTCCTGTAGGCAGGGGGACAACAGCCTGTATGGAGCAGGGTATATCTATGACTGTCTGTTTGTAGTAGAACTGAGGAAATAATAAAGGTAATAGTGGGTACATGAATACCTAGAGGAAGTCCCTGCAAATACAAGGTTGACATGCAAACTCCACACACACATGGAATGAGGGGCTGGAGCTGAACTCATAACCCTGGAGCTGTGAGTCCACAGAGCCTTAATATTGTATATGAATGTACAAGCACTAGATCAGATCAAACACATAATCAAACGATCATGACATTTTCTCCAACAGAATGGACACTGGTTTTATTTTTCCTGTTAGTTCTCTGTGGTTTGGGATTGTGCCACAGGTTCTGTGTGTTGGGTCTGTGACCTGTGGGTGGGCAGGCTTCCTGAAGCAGAACCTCAACAGGACGCTGGACACCAGCTGCATAATTCAGGTTCCCCTGAAACAAATTTGGATATGTGGCTCTATAACATCCTTGATCAGTACAGAACTGGACTTGTCCTCTTAATGTAACAGACTGAAGTGTTGGGAAATACAGATGTACGTTTTATTTAGGTTCTTGTAATGTCTCTGATATAGAGACTCACTTTGCATCATCTACAGGATGGATAATTTGCTAACCCCATGGTCACCTGAACTGGGCACATGCACCCAAGCACTGGAAAGATCCACAACAGTCTGTTAGGTTATAACTGTCCTGTGGGTGGATATAAAATGAAACCAGTATAACCTCTGGTGCCTATTTCAGCTACCTTCCACTGCAGATATTAGGGAAGATATTTGCAGATATTAGTCATACGGACGCACTGCAGAAATGTTCCTTTGATACTGTCTGGCTGTGAACAAGCCTGCCCATGAGAACGTGGTATATGATTGTATAAAACTCCATTACCCATCATTCCTCAGCCATGACAGCCTATCAGTGAGGGCGGCAATACAGAACCAAAGGATCCCACCAGTGTATATTAGGCTCTGATCCACTTCCTTGTGTTGCTGTTAGATGCCCCTCAATGATCCAGTCTGAACTGCTTGTGGATTTGCCAGGTTCTCACCATAACAGAAATTTTTAGGTTCTACTACAAAAAGAAGTTGTATATCAGAGTGATAACAGAACAATGGTACTTTAAGTGAAATAACACAAAAGATAACACTAATTCTAAGAATCTCATCTTTTTATTAACTGAATTTGACAGATAGAAACAGGTAAAATTACATTAAAAGTCTTCTTTCTGCTTCCCAGGACAGCTGTCATCTCAGATGTAATCTCCCTAAATTTGTTCCTGTAGCAGAGCTGTAGTTCAGTTTGCAGCTACCTGTACCTTATTTTTTGAGGGGACACAGCAACAAATAAATGGGTATTTTTTCAAGTAAGGGTGACACGTTCCCCGTGAAAGAAGTACAACAAGTAAATTCAAATTAAAATGTTATTGTCCGTATATGAAAATCTATAAGTAAAATTACTGGACAAACTAACAGGTTTGCCACTGAACAGGAGAGCAGTTTCCCACATGTCAGTTTCACTGGAGTGAAAATAGTGAGATGGGTGATTAAAAACCGTGAAAACAGTGATCCAGAATGATTATCCTTCCACGTCGTCATTTTGTCTGATTTGGTCTCATCACATCCTGTGAGATTTACATGTTACGTCCACGAAATGGTGTAAAAAAGCGAGCATCACGGGTGACACATTTGCACTGGTGATGGACAGCAGCATAGAGAGTGACCCTGTGGGCGGGGCTTCATGTCGGGCGACAGGAACGAAAAGTTGTGAATGTAACTTTTAGCTACTGATTTGTTGCATTCATTCACGGTTCTGCTTCGTGAGGGAGTTAATGTACTCCCTGCATGTTCGAAGAATGCATTTTCCCTGAAACTAGACTTAGACCCACTTTGAATTTCCTCCGGAACTTACAAGCACGGAGCGTGAGCGCGGCGCGATGTGACAAGTCCTGTTTTAGTTTAACAAAACAATATTCCCAATAATAAGATCCTGTCGAGGAAAAAAACAACAACACTGACAAACACATTTACTGAGGCTCCGTTTTAATCACACGCCAGAATGAACCGGTGTAGTCCGGCCGCTGTGGGACCCGCCTGCTGCTCCGTGTGAATTTGCGCCCCCTGCCCTGATCCGCGGTACCTTTGCGTGACATAAGCTTTCCGTCCCAGAGAGTCACATTATGCATACATCCTTTTCCAAATTCCTGCCATAACAGCAGATCCTCCCAATGTCTTTCTTGCCATAACAAACAAGCAGGCTACATCTACCTCAAAGGGCAGTTCTCAGCTAAAGGTTTTTAAAAGGCCGTCCGTTATTTTTTTTTGATAATGTTAACATTTACAGTACTTAATGATTTGATGTCATGTTTGATATGTCCTAAATTACTCTAACGTTTATGCGTCCTCCGATGGACTGTTGTTTGACAGGTTTGATTTAAAATTTCTGCATTTCTGTCGTTTGTCATGTCTGATTACGGACAGTGCTGATACTTTCGCTGACTGCTGCTGTTTATTTCTAGAAGCAACTTTTATTAACGTTAAAGTGTTTTTGAGCTATCGCTTTGCAATTTTCTGTATAATAAGAACACAATGTCTGCTATAATAAAGGATTACTTGGAAACCATGGAAAAATGTGTGATACTGTCCCCTAGCGTACTGTAATGGGTACTGTCACTGAGCGTGGTTCGGTTATGTCAAATCAAGCGGTTCTCGAAGTGCTGGGAGTGAAATGGGGAATGTTTAACAACTTGACTCAGGGGAGCCTGCCACTGTAAAACGTACTTTGTAGAGGTTTGCTTTCACGGTTACTTTAAATAATCTTTTTTGTTGGTCACTGTCATATAAATCTAATTAAATCCTCTGAGATTCAAAACAACAAAACATGAAGAAGTCCAAAAGAAATGAATGCATTTTAAGATTCTTAAATGATATGATACTGGATGAGGTGACCATGGATCTAGTTAAGATTCAGCACCAAACACTGCAGTGCTTTTAAATACATGTACATACAGCAATGTGCAAAAGCCTTAGGCAGCCAAAGAAAATAATGCTAAAATTATCTTCAAGGAGTTGAACTATGATATTATGCCTGTCAAAGTGTGTCAGCTTAGCCATTTCAAAAGCTCTGGTAAAACCGCCCCAGTATTTTTAGCAACCATTTAATACACCAATGTATTTTTTTAATTGACCACTAGCACACCTCATATAGCTAATCAATATCCCATTGACTTTTTAAACTAATTAAATTAGTTAATTAAATGAGCTGGTGGTGAAATTTAACAAACACGTGGAATGGCTGAGGTGCCCCTGAGGAGAGGTTTGGGAACTGAAGCCATCCAACAAAGTCTCAATAGCTTTTGGGAGAACAGAAGAAATTTTTACTAGTTTTTATTTTGTTACTCTTAATTTCAGTATGTTCTAATGTCAAATTGTTTCTTTTTGTTCTGAGCAAATGTGCCCTTACTACCCAAATAAATGACATTAAACATTTCTTTTGACTGCCTAAGACTTTTGCGCAATACTTTACATATCACTCCATCTGAGATTAAAAATTACAATCTAATGCCAAAATGCCAAATGATTTGTCCATAACCACAGAATACAACAGAAAACGAAGAAAAGATAATTCTGTGAAATACACTGCCTGGCCAAACAAAAAAGTCGCCATTTGGATTTTTTGTTGGACCGCCTTTAGCTTTGATTATGGCGCACATTTGTCATGGCATTGTTTCCACAGGCTTATGCAACATCTCACCCTTTATTTCATCCAGATTTGCATTCATTTCTCATCGAAATCCTGCATTGACAAGTGAGTTGAACCACTCCATAAAGCCTCCTTCAGCACATCCCAAAGACCTTCAATGAAGTTAAGGTCACAACATGACAATGATTCCTCATGCTCCCTGAACCACTCTTTGACAATTAGAACCCAATGAATCTTGACATTGGAATATGTCCATGCCAACAGCTAAGAAAAAAATCCACTGATGATGGATGGAGGTGTAACCTGGCCAGTAGATTCAGGTACTCAGCTGACTTTATTCCTGCATAACGTTGCTGGGCTGTAATAATGACCCAGTCATTGGCTCTTAAGTATTTGCTGATATAAATTCAAATGCTGTATTACACTAAAATTTTACACTACCTAACTTTTGATTGTCATTCTGAACCAGGCCAATACCCTCAACATTCCACATCTCCTAGGCCTTTTGTCTCCCTCATGTAGCCAGATCTTCTTTCCTTCAGAGGTGGCACAGGGTAACTGAGTGAGTAAAGAGAGAAGCCAGGTGCTGAGATAATCAGCTAGTGGCCTAGCTAAACACAGCTTAGCGCTGAGAGGGTATCTTTAATAAGATAACGCAGAGCCTGTGTGCTCAGAGGAGGCTGTGGAGAGACGTGCCTGAGAGGACACACCATCTTCAGTCCATACAGAGCAACCGCCTCTTGCGCGTCCGTCGGCTCCCAGGAACTCAGCGCCCACCTGGCTTTCGCCATCATTTGGGGTTACGGGATCAACGCAGCTGGGGGTCGCTTCGGGCCGGATCGCGTCGCCTTTGATACAGGTCACATGACTGACATTGCATGAGCAGATCCTGACTCACCTTCAGCACTCTTAGGAGAAAGACTCACTGATGACACTTGCACAGCAGAGTGGTGGCCCCTGCAGCGGCGGGCTACTCTCCTCACGTCTTTGACTTCTCCTGGTGTTCTTCTCCGGTCGTTTGTGGTCTGCTCCATCTCTCAGTCACAGTCGGAGAGGACTGGGTCTGAAGACCCCCGATCCAAGATGAGCGTCACGAAAGAAGATGTGACGAAGTTTCTGGATGAAAACCCTGAGTTTGCCAAGGTTTACTTCGACAAGAAGCTAAAAGTGGGCGCCATCGCCGCCGTGATGAGCCGGCCAGAGTCCAGTGTGGATTTTGCGTCTTTCAAGGAGCTGAGCCAGGTGGAGGAAGCAGAGATGCTGTTCGACCTCATTCACAACATGCAGGAGAGTGTCAACATGGAGAAGGTGGTCTTCAAGGTCTTGAAGAGGATCAGCTTTCTGATCCACGCAGACTGCTGCAGCCTGTTCATGTTCCGCCAGCGCAACGGCATCGCGGAGCTGGCCACGCGCCTCTTCAACGTCAACAGTGGAGCGGAGCTGGAGGACTGCCTGGTGCCGCCGGACTCTGAGATCGTCTTTCCTTTGGACATGGGAGTTGTGGGACACACTGCCCACAGCAAGAAAACCATCAATGTCAAGGACGTGTCAGAGGTAGGCTGTGTGTGTGACTCGTCTGCGAATGGCATCTGGCCAATGTGATCTACACAAGTGGTGAAGTGCGTAAACCAACCCAAAGCAGAACGAGCCATATATGGGAAAACCACAATGAAAGAGGGTTCACCTTGAAGTAGATGTTCCAAAAATGGGTATGTCAACCACACCGAGCTGAATGATCAGCTCAAATGACATTTTCCGATATGTGCAAATCCCAAGTGAATGGTTGCTTTGGCCATATATACAAACATCTGTCCCTTTTCTGAAGCTGCTCATCCTGTTCAGGGTCACAGGGGGTCCAGAGCCAATCCCAGGGGCTACGGGCACAAGGCTGGGAACAACCCAGGACCCCATTGCAGGGCACACTCACACACCATTCACTCACACACCATTCACTCACACACCATTCACTCACACACCTACAGGTGATTTGGTAATTCCAGCCAGCCTCAGCGAGGACTGTGCGGGGAAACCCAGACAGAAAACCCCCCATGACACGTGGAGAACATGCAAACTCCACAGAGGGAACCCCGGCGGAGACTGAGCAACATATATGACTTATTTATATATCCACGCATATCCATATATAGTGATGAATTTGTTGGAAATCCTCTTGACATAATCGCATTTAAATATACCTCATGACCTGGCCGTGATAAGTGGGATTACTGTGTCTGTGGCATTTACCGTCAGCAGAACTGTGTGAGGGATCATCGTCCCGTCATCTTCGCCCCAAAACAAACGAGCCAGTTGTTATGGAGCTGCAGGAAGGTGGGGGAGACGGGGATCTTTTGTTGCATATTTAAGGAGTGTATTAAATGTGTATCATTAACTGAACATGTGCAGGGCAGATAATGAACTATATGGTATGACTAGGCTATTTAACTAAATAAAGTTTAAATGACACTAAAATTCTTGATCATATCCTGCCGTACCAATTATAGGATATTTACTAAAGTTAATTTAGATGAGTACTAGGTGTGTCTCTAAGGGTGGTTAGTACCGGCCTGCCTAATATCTGTTTATATTCCACACTTTCAGCAGCATCCTGTATGTATTGACTGAGTATTACTGTCATTTTACCCAGACACAAACGGTCTTCCTTTGCCAGTTAATCTATAGCACTGAAACAAGTTTTGCCTGTAAGTGAACACTAGACTGTTGACCAAATGACGTTAGAAGGTTCAAGCCCCCACTACATTTTTTCTAGTGCAGTGTTTTCCAATCCGGTCTATGGGGACCCACAGTCGGTCCACGTTTTTGCTCCCCCCCAGCTCCCGGTACGTGACAGTGGGTCCCCCAGGACCGGATTGGGAAATACTGCTCAAGTGGGCTTTAGCAAGGCTGTTACCCTGAGTTAATGTAGTAAACTCGGTGTAAAATGATTAGTTTGACTAATGTATTGTGACGATACATCTGCTGAATGTTAGACTTGGCTGTCATGTCTGACAATGTTTGCAGCATTATGTTGCATATCAGTTAAATCATTTGGACAGTGTAGGGCTGGTTCCACATCTGGAGACATGAAATCCTTATGAGTTTCTCTGAATCCACAGTACGGGAGTTTGAAATAGTGTGCAAAAAAAGGAAGGTTTCAGAGAAGCTACCAGAGGCTTTCTGATCATGCCCTGTTCCCTGTCGTCCCAGAGTACTCACTTCTGCTCATTCGTGGATGAACTGACGGGGTACAGCACCAAGAACATCCTGGCCACCCCCATCATGAACGGCAAGGAAGTGGTGGCAGTGATCATGGCCATCAACAAGACAGACGGGCCCTTCTTCACACCGGAGGACCAGGATGTGAGGATGCCAAGCCCACATGCACTCCTCAAACACCAGCGTGACCCTGGTCCATAAATAAGAAAAATAAAAATACTTCTCTTCCCATCCTTCAGCTTTTTTTGAAGTATCTCAACTTTGCCACCTTGAACCTAAAGATTTACCACCTGAGTTACCTGCACAGCTGTGAGACCCGCCGTGGACAGGTAAGGCGCCGCAGTGACTCCGCCGACCATGTGCAGTGTGGGCGATCACTGCGACACTGACTGCGCTTTCCCGTCTCCCACCACCCAGCTTTTACTCTGGTCAGCCAACAAGGTGTTTGAGGAGCTCACGGACATCGAGCGACAGTTTCACAAGGCCTTGTACACGGTGCGAGCGTACCTGAACTGTGACAGGTACTCTGTGGGCTTGCTGGATATGACCAAGGAAAAGGTACTCCATTCTTATCTGAGTATTTCACCGCGTTCCGCTTTCTAGTATAGTGTTTCCCAACCCAGTCCACAGGGAACTCTGGACAGTCCATGTTTTCGCTCCCTCCCAACTCCCAGCCAATCAGGAACACCGAATACCAGGTACAGGTGCACTGGGAGCTGAGAGGAAGCAAAAACGTAGACTGTCCGAGGTCCTCCAAGGACTGGGATGGGAAACACTGTTCTAGAGCAAGTTAACTTACTGTTAGCATAATTTACCTGTCCAAATGACGGCCACCATAGCTAGTGTTTTCATATATCACCCTTCTGTATGTAGAGTCCCTGAATCTACAAACGTGCAGTACTATTTACAGAATGAACACTAATCCATCAATGTTTGTGCACCCCCTGCAGGAGTTCTTTGACGTGTGGCCTATACTGATGGGGGAACAGGCCCCATACTCAGGCCCCGTGACCCCAGATGGAAGGGTGGGTGCAACACGTTAGTGCTTCCCCCCCTTTCCCTAACGGAACTATTATGACTGACTGTCCAAGGAGATCAATAAATATCTCGTTTGCTGTTTCAGGAAATCATCTTCTATAAAGTTATTGACTACATTTTGCATGGAAAGGAAGATATCAAAGTTATCCCGTAGGTCATTTTCCTTTAAAACACATAAATAATTGTATTATACAGAGAAAAAGTGCTTGTCCATTTTCCATTGTTTGTGCATCTGTCACATGATGTTACATCCTTCTCTGATTCGATACCCCCAAATCAGAAACCCCCCCGCAGACCACTGGGCTTTGTGCAGTGGACTTCCAACTTATGTGGCGGAAACTGGATTTGTAAGTTACCCATAACTTCACTAACTAAAATGAACAGGAAATATAATCTTCAACCATCACCTGCTCAACTACTTAACAGTTATCTATTAAAATTTGAGACAATGTGTGTATATATCTTCCTGAGACCCAAGGAAGAAAGTGTCCCTCAATTTTAGGTTTTTTGTCTTTGGAGGAAATAAGACATCTTACAATTTAGATTTATTTTTATTTTTAATTTCACAGCATGTCCTCTTTAGTGTACAACAGGAATAAATATATTTCCTTACATCAGTGAAAAGGTAGATGCAAAAACAAAATGTCCATTACAATGGACATAAATGAATGGGTGGGGTCTCAGGAGGATATAAGGATATCTCTATTTAACTGTTTTTTTTATTACAGATTTGCAACATTATGAATGCTGCATCAGAGGAAATGTTCAGCTTCCAGGTCAGAAAAATTTTGCTTGAATATATACTCCTACACTGTTTCATTTTCAATCACTCATAGATTTTGATCACTCGCTGTATTTAGCTGCAGCAACAAAATTCCGTGGTCACTCTCAGTTACCAGCAAATAATTGGTCTGGACCTGTACCAACAAGCTCCATCTGAAGCAGTCAAAGGCTTGAATGAGTAGATGAATCATTGAATCAGGCGTGTTTGTGCTGGTTTAGAACCAAAAGGCACCTTCTCCTATGTCCACTTGGGATTTGGACATAGAGTGCTAAGTTACCTGTCCCTCTCCTTTGCTTGGTCTCATGGAACGAGGCGTGCTATCTGACTCTTATCCCAAATGATGCAGACGGAGCCCCTGGACAGCAGCGGCTGGACCATCAAAAACGTGCTTTCACTGCCCATCGTCAACAAGAAGGAGGAGATTGTGGGTGTGGCCACGTTCTACAACAGGAAAGATGGGAAGCCCTTTGATGACCAGGATGAGCAGCTTATGGAGGTGTACTGCCTCTCGCTTAACTGCCGCATGGAAATACCGCCCCACTGATATCTGCCTGCCGGTCGATTTAATATCATATTTAGGAGATAAATCACACTAACTGTACTAACACCTCAGAAAAGTATGTGTATTATTCATTACGCTCCTGTTAGCCTGGCTAATTTATCAACTTCTGTTTGATTTGACAACTTCAGGGCACTGTTTAGGTAATTAGGGAACCAGAACCACAGTCGCCTAGTGTTAGCAGCTGAACATCTGAGACTGTGTAGATATTGGGGGACGGTGCCTGTCTAATCCCCCCCATCTTCCTCCTTCCCAGTCTCTGACACAGTTCCTTGGATGGTCTGTGCTCAACCCTGACACGTACGACAAGATGAATAAGCTGGAAAACAGGAAGGACATAGCCCAGGACATGGTGCTGTACCACGTCAAGTGCCGCAACGATGAGATCCAGGACATCCTGGTGGGTGAACCTTTGTGGGTGCACAGCCATTCCTGCAGCACGTGGCGTCTGTCTTCAGCATATCCATACCCCAGCTGTACTCTCATGCCGCACATGTAATTTTCTGATTCTTTGCCTTTAAGAAAACACGGGAGTATTTTGGTTGCGAGCCATCAGAGTGCGAAGAGGATCAGCTTTCAAAGATCTTGGTATGGACCTCACCTTTTAAGCCTTTTAAAACCTTCTAAACCCACGAAGAACCTTCATTTTATCTATTTAAGCTAGTTTGGAATTAATCGACATAGGACTGTGGTCTACAGTATGTAAACACTTTTAAATATATTTCAGAGTGTCTGTTCAGCTAAAATGACAAGGTCAGACATCATGTAAAATTTTGCAGAAAAAAGAGCTCCCAGGACCTACCAAGTTTGAGATCTATGAGTTCCGGTTCTCAGACTTTGACTGCACGGAACTGGACCTGGTGAAGTGTGGGATCCAGATGTACTATGAAGTCGGGGTAGTGAAGAAGTTTCAGATTCCACAGGAGGTAAAAAAAAAAACTGCTATATGTTGGGTTTGTCACCCAAAGAGTTAAACTGAAAGCCAAAGAAGCATCTAGACCATTCAAGCATAGCCAGGCCCTCTAGCAGACTCATCTTTTCCTTATTCCAGGTTGCTGACAGAATACAGTGACATTTTGCTTGTGGCGTTTCTTTAAATGGCTATGAGTATATTTCTGGTAAAGTGACACAGTGGTTTGTCAGGAATTGGCTACAAAGAAACTGACCATTTACAAATCATGCTCACATCTCTACAGGTCCTAGTGCGATTCATGTACTCTGTCAGCAAAGGCTACAGGAAGATCACCTACCACAACTGGCGCCATGGGTTCAACGTTGGCCAGACAATGTTCACATTGTTAACGGTATGACAGATCGGGGCTACAGATTGGCCTTGATTTTCAGAGCTCACGATCAAAAACTGCAGAAGTGAGTTAGTGTTTCAGGGTTGGTCTTTAACCAAATGTTTCACATTCTCCTGGGGGCATCAGACCGGGCAGCTGAAGCATTACTACACAGATCTGGAGGTCATGGCTATGATCACAGCTGGCTTCCTGCATGACATTGACCACAGGGGCACCAATAACCTCTACCAGGTGAAGTGAGTATGCCATGAAAATCCTACCCTTTGTGCTTGTGACAGCTGGAGGTTTGGACTCAAAGGGGAGGGATCTTCAGAGTCAGATCATACAAGATCAGCAACAATATTTCATTTTAAAAGACATTTACTCCCAAAGGTAATTAGATGTATGGAGCTGCATAGACGTTTTAGACTTTGGCAAATATCTTAAAGTCCTTACACAGTGCTGGGAGATCCACGAGGGGTCCCACGATAACTGTTTTATACAAATAGTCTATAAACACATTGTGGTGTATCGGGACATCTTCAGTATATCACAAAAACCCAGCACTTTGCAGAATTAGTGTCTGGCATATCTCCACAGTGCTGTGTTCCCTTGTTTGTCTGTTTTTGTTTACTGGTAGGTCACAGAACCCGCTGGCCAAACTTCACGGCTCCTCCATTCTCGAAAGGCACCACTTAGAATTTGGGAAGTTTTTACTTTCAGATGAGGTCAGTGTGCCAGTTGTACCCAGCACATTCCTGTTAAACCAGTTTTCACTGCATACTGTATATCTGCAGTGCTAAGAGGAAAACCAGTCATCCCATTAACTGGCTACTCCACCCCTTGCCCCCCATCCACAGTCATTAAATATTTACCAGAACCTCAATCGACGGCAGATGGATCACGTTATTCATCTCATGGACATTGCCATCATTGCCACAGACCTGGCACTGTATTTCAAGTATGTCACAGTCTCTGTTCATTCCGATTTGCTATTGACTAACATCTGATAAGTCACCTGCTACGCTAAAGGAAGATGAGTCGCCTTAGATGTTGTGTGTGTGATCTAGAGGAAGGTCAGGCAGGGAAAAGTAATAGCTGTGTATAATAAAGTACAAAACCTGAGGGCATTAATTTGTGTATGTCCCTACAATATTGTGGGAGCACTGTGTGTGTTTGGAGGTAGCGGGGGGGGGGTCAGGACTGATTTGGCCCCTACCGGTGTTGAAACTGAACCTACGCCCATGAGAAAACCACAGATTGCCTGTCCATTGCAGGGAAGTCATGCCCAGATCAGGAACCATTTGGAATGGTTCTCCTGAACTGCTTTGCATGTTATACAGAGGTCATGGGAAGAGCATGAGAAAGGCTGACCTCACACTAACCCAGACAAATTCCTGTTCTCATTTAAGTCTGATATCCATCACCACTTTATATTTAAACCTTTGGCTTGTTTGGTTTAAAACATTTAAAACTTATACTCCACTGTCTGTCTGATGCTGTCAACTCCTGTTTGCAGAAAGAGGACCATGTTTCAGAAGATTGTGGACCTCTCAGAAACATATGAAGATAAAAAAAAGTGGGTTGAATTCATGTCCCTGGAAACTACAAGGAAAGAGATTGTGATGTAAGTACTTGGGACCCACAGAAGGGTTCAGTGCTGCTCCAGCACCAGTAGGGTTAGGGGGCACGTCCCATTTGGGTTGGGCCTGCAGCCAATGCACCTTTGAGTCTCTGATTTTCTCTTACTCCGTCAGGGCCATGATGATGACCGCATGTGACCTGTCAGCCATCACCAAACCATGGGAGGTCCAGAGCAAGGTGAGCAGGCTGCCACAGTTTATCTCAGAAGGTCACTCAGAGACCGTTTATCCTCAAACATGCCTGGTTATCCACCGCCCACTAGGTGGCGCTCTCTGTGGCTGCTGAGTTCTGGGAGCAGGGAGACCTGGAGAGGACAGTTCTAAGCCAGCAGCCCATTGTGAGTGTGTCTTAGTGTGTGTGTGCGTGTGTTTGTGTTGCCTCTGTGTCTGGGAGGCTGTTTTTAATGTACATGTACATACATGCGTGCATTTGAATTCCTCTACCTGTCACCCTCCAGCCCATGATGGACCGGAACAAAGCAGCAGATCTGCCCAAGTTACAGTGCGGCTTCATTGATTTCGTCTGCACATTCGTCTACAAGGTATGACCCTCTCACATTAACCAACCACATGAGTTTTAGGGTTCATGACGATACATTTGGGTATTGACTGAGAACCTTGGTCGATGTATTTTGATAGGCTTGAATGAATTCCTTGTTCTTCTCTTCCAGGAGTTTTCTCGGTTCCATAAGGAAATCCAGCCCATGTATGATGGCATCTTAAACAACAGGAAGGAGTGGAAGGCCAAGCAGGAGGAGTACGAGGCCCAGCTGAAGGCCTTCGAGGAGGAGAAGGCAGCCCGAGAGCAGACTGCGGCTGCAAAAAAAGGTGAGGCAGCAGCACAGCCCTCCATCTGCTGCACTGCGCAGTGCGTAAAGCTACCTGGGTCGCACTGCATTTCCTTGGCATGATGATGTGTGCTTCTTTCCTTTGTACAGCTACAGCTCAGAACACTCCCAACTCAGCCTCTGGGTCCAAGACCTGCTCCATTTGCTAGACCCATGGGGCGTATCTAAGAGGGAGGCACTCACTCGAATATGACACAGCCATTGAGTCTGATTGCATCAGGTGGGGTTGGGCCATGGGACAGGTCCGGTCTTGCCCCATTCCCAACCACTGAATCCTACAGAAGATCGACAGGTTCCTCCTGGCTGGTGGACTGATCATGGCCAAGCTATGGCCCAGGCCACGGGTTTGTCATTCACTTTTTTATTTCTTTTGTCCTTCATCATCTTCAAGCGCCTCTGTCAGCTTCAATCACCCAGTATGTCCAGTGGAGGAACAGCTGAGAGAATGATGCGTGTAGCATAGGCAGGTAGCTAAATAGAAACTGAAAGCGCATTTGACCACAAAGACATATCATCATACTAAAAATCTGGGAAGTGGGTGAGGAAGACTTGGTATAAACGTCTACTCACAGCAGATGGGGTCAGACATGTTGATAATCATATGTAACAAAGAGTACATATCTAGTGTTGAACTGAAGGATTTACGTTGTCAACTGTTTCATCAATGTTCTTTTTTACCATATAATCACCTTGAGGTACTCTGCACCTCAATTCTTCCAGTCAATCGTGCTTTACAATAGACTTCCAGAAACAAAATTGCTCTTCATATTTTACCTCAGGACAGGTCATGCATAGCAAACTGACGGCTTCTTGGTATGTGGGTGTGAGTTTTAGGGTTTTGTTTCAATGACTTTGAAATGACTTAGGGCAATAAACTGTTGAGGTTTAATGGGTGTGTAGGTAGGCCAGAGTCCCCTACTTTATATAAATGATACACAAATATTCAAATAAGGGAGTGTGTCTGGGATCAACCGAGGTGGTTGGGGCAGGTGGTCGCGCTGAACCTTGGTGGTCACTGTCAGAGTAAGGGCTGGTTCCCACTTACTGCGGACGCACCACAGCAGGTGCCCCGGAGTGCTGGCCCATCCACGTTCCTGTAGGCCTGCACTCATTCTCCTTGCACCACCGTGTATTTTGATACCAGGCACAGGTATATGGCTTTGCAGGTGCAAATGTAGTTTTCAGCTATCTGGGAGTCTTTTCCACAGCGAGGAATCATAAATGCTGGTATTAAACTTTCTCGTAGCAGGAAGTCCTTCTGACTTCCTGCTACTTTTCCCTGGGCAATGAACAACTGAGCTGTGTTGTGTTGATTTTTGATTGGTATGCAGCGTCATGCTTGGCCCTCGAACAAGAATTATAGCACAAGAGCCATGAGTGCTGTGGTTTGTCTGCAGTAAGTGGAATCCAGCTATCAGGTTGCATCTTTTAGCGCAGTTTATTAATGAATCGTACAGGGGTGTTTGTGACGAGCATGCAGAAGACGTAGCTCAGACACAAGAGAAAGTTAACTTCACAAAACTGCACACTTGAAGGTGACCTATACACATTTAAAGCAAATGCATGCACTTTTCCAACAAATTAGCAGAAGTCAAATTCAGGGGACAATGGGGGGGACATTTTTTAGGAATTTGCAACTGTAAATATACCCCATGTGTAAATACATAACGCTACAAGTAAAATTCTGTTAGGAGACGTCATGCCCTCTGATGAAGACCAGCACAAGTCATCTGTGTATCTCATACTCAGTTCTTGTGGCTCAGTGATACAATGAGGCCAGATGCAGGAAAATAAATCCTGCTTCTTTTTTTTTTTTTACCTCGCTTTTTCATCATTGAATGCTGAAAAATATAATCATTTGGATAAAAAGTTACACATAGAGTTTGCATGGTTGTCCATGAGTTTATTGTAAAATATTTTTTTGCATCATAGGCATGAGAATCCAATAAGAACGCTGCGGTTGGAACGTAAAGAGTAATAAACTTTAATTTTTGTCTAGTTTTAGTCCAGTTCCCTTAATTACAAACGTGCTTGTGACTGAATGTGCATTTGTCTGTTAAACACCTTGTAAACAGCAAAGTCCTCCTGTGTTTTCCTGTGCTGTTTAGCATCTCATTAAGACGCTTCACTGCTGATGATTCACTAGCTGCCAATGCCTCTTAGGACAATTCTCAGCATTTTCCTGCTGTCTGTAGCCAGATTCGCTCTGTGAAGGTCATCTTGGGCAGATTTGGTCTCATCTTGGTCAGGAGGCACAACATTTTGAGACTCTTGGGATCTGATATTTTATCACAATGAGTCAGTTCACTGTTATGCTCTTCAAGTGGTGATAAATGACATTCCTGCATGTGCAAACCACACTGAATCTGATATGTGCTTTGGGAAAGTCTGGGAATCAGAATCATATCCCGCCCCTCCAAGGGACAAGACCTCGGGAAGCAGGAGCCCCCACCTCAGCACCAGCTCCTCATGCCCCCTGGCTTCTGGCCTGTATCAGTTCGCTCAGCACTTTCCTATATTGGCCTGTGACCTGAATCCTAGGATTTGCACTAAGGATGGGGGGATTATGCCCTCCCCCTCCCCCCCAACAACACACCTCCTGAAGTGACAGAGGACAGCCACGGTAGAGAACACAAACACGGACCCAGTCACAAACACAGCAAGCCAGGACCGTTCATGGCATGGAGGACTGAGAAATTGTCTGCCCTAACACGTCAAGGTTTTTCACAAGAAGCAAACAAATAATTCAAAATTGAAAGAAAAACCCTACTCACAAACTATATATACACACTATAGTTCATTTTTGAAGGCTCTACATCTAAAATTAGCAACCTTAAGACAATCTCTTAAGACTGCTCCCACTTTTGGTTGGGGCTCTTATTAAAATGCATCAAATTCCAACAACAATACCTTTTGCCCAGTGGTGATTAACTGAAGTACACCAACTACAGACACTCCCTGGGTTAAAATTTTCCGACAAGTAAACGTTTTTCCACTTTCAGTACATTATTCAATAAATTACATGAGATATTCAGCATTATTATAAATAGGCTTCATGTTAACGATTTTTGCCCAACAATAGGCTAATGAAAGTGTTCCAAGCATGTTTAAGGTAGGCAAGGCTAGGATGTTTGTTCGGTTAGGTGTACTGTATTTACATGAATTTTTGACTTGTGTAATTTTTGCCTTACAATGGAATTACATGCTGACATACCCTGGGGAGAAGCTCCACCTGCATTATTTAAAATTCCTAGACCAGGGGTGGCCAACGTTTAACTCAAGATCTACTTTTCAATGGCCAGTGTGCCGAGATCTACCAGTTCAAATAGGGAGCCGTAGCTGCTATTCTTTTATTCTATTATTACTCTAGCTATTACCTTTCTACATAGTTAACATGCACACAGCAAATCCAGGTAATTCTTCAAATTGAAAAAGTGTAAATAAATGTATTTCTCTACCTTAGTGGGACCGCTGGCACTGGGAAGATGCAGAAGGTAAAAACTGACTGCTGTGCTGCTAACTGACACTTCAGTTCTCGCACTTTTTGGCTGCGTATGGCTGTTTTAGCAGGGAACTCAGTCTCGTAGCTTTTGTGCGTCGTTTTGAAATGCCGCTACAAGTCGCCCTTCTTCGGTAAAGCCGCGGTCGCATTAGACACATGGGCTTCAAATTTGAGTAAACAAAAAATAATCCTCTTCCCACTCTGAATGAAAATGATACGTTTTTGATCTTCTGGCTTCTGACATGTTTGCATGCTAAATATTCACAGTACACGATTAGTTGTACACAGAAAAATGGGTGCGTGTGCGCAAGTGGAGGGACGCTTGCGATGCACTTTGCGATTGATTGAGAATTACTCCGCGATCGACTGTTTGGGCAGCCCTGTCCTAGATCAAGACAACCAAAACCTGCTATGTCATCATGTAAAGTACTGTAAACTGAAGCTGTTGTACAAACATAAAGCTACCAACCTACTAAAACCCACATTAGCGAGCATGATAATCCTACATCTAAACACACACTTCAGACAATGTTTTGTTTTCATGTTTATTTTACAGACTGTGTAGCTTGAAAGAAATGAACCTTACTACAGCAAGGATAAAGTATTGATTATTTTCATACACAAACACAAAACAAATTATCCATCTTAGCACTCATTTGAGAATGGTGTCTTCATTAGCTGTGGGAGAGAGAAAGAGGAGGTTACTTAGGTCTGTGCAGGTATAGGGTCAGGGCATCAACAGAGGGGTGGGAGCCAGAGAGGAGACACACACACAGTATCATTTGCTATAATGTCACAGCCATCCTGGAACAGTCTGAGACGCGCTGCCGAAGTGCAGGCCTACGCGCTGCCGAAGTGCAGGCCTACGCGCTGCCGAAGTGCAGGCCTACGCGCTGCCGATGTGCAGGCCTACGCGCTGCCGAAGTGCAGGCCTACGCGCTGCCGGACATGATTCCATAGGCCACCTCACCCTCTGCCAGCTGCTTTGCTATCCGCTCTTGTTCCTCTCGGATCCTCTTCTCCTCTTCCTCGATCCTCCTCTCCTCAGCGGCAACTGGCTTCAGGTAGTCTGGGGGGGTTCAACAAGCATACACCAATGGATGAAGTGTATAAAAAAAATCTGAATCAAATGATGAACCATTTAAAATGATTTAGCAGCAAAAACCGGTTGTGATCTATTCATCCTCTAATAATCTGCAGTTTATGTGTTCAGACGTTTACCTCTGTTTGCATGCGCTCTCCCAGCCATTCAGTCATTTTAGTCCTTTGCTGTTGGACTCACTCATAATGTGACACGTTTATGAGAAACTACAGTTTATTTTGGGTATTTTCAAATCTTTTTTGGTTTTATTAATATAAGGCTACAATTGATGTTTTAATTTATCTTTTTACAGCAAATGAGTATTGTCTAATTTTATATGGGAATAAATAAATGGAGTAGCTGATAAACTAGAGAAGGCCAATTCATACTTCACTTCTCTACGTTTGCTCTTGGTCGCACACAAGGGGACGTGACAAATTTTGCCATCAGGTGTTGGCTGCAGTCTTACATGCATAGGGCAGATTTTTTTTCTCTCTAGTGGTGATCATGCACGCCTGTGCACGTTGACTAACATGTTCAAAATAATTCATTATTATTTCCAGCAGGTGGCAGCACCAACCTTCACATTACAGGTCATAGAAAAAATAGTACAGTAAGAATACTTATTGTAGTAGTTATGGTGTGTAGCTGTATGAGGAAGGTCGAAAGTACCTGCATATCTAAGTTATCATACTGTCCAGACATTATACCAAGGTAGGTTAAAAAGCAGCACTATTCCGACATTTTGAAATCTTGATGATGAATGAGTTGGGGGGCTCACTGTCCAGACTAATTAATCCAAAATACAGTCAAACCTTGGATTTGGTTTGCGAGTGTTTTGCAAGACGAGCAAAATTTTTAAATAAATCTTAACTTGATAAACGAGCAAGCTTGCAATACGAGTATTACGTATACGCTTCGTTTGCCGAGCGTCACGTGATCAAAACTGAGCCTATGGTTCTTCTCTCTCTCTCTCTCACTGCGGGAAATCATTTCCCATGCAGTGTCAGTCGGCGTGCTTCGCTCGTATAGTCAAAATTTAGTAGAAAAGCACCACCCGAATAAGGCCGTAGCAGTGCGAGCAATGAATCTGTTTAACAACAATGCAATGTCCACATTTCCATGAAATCGAAAAGAGGCTGTCATTGGATAGGTTCCTTGTTAAAGTCACGCAAAAAGAAAAAGATTCCAGTGAGCCAACAGATAGCAGTGATTCCGTTAGTTACAGTGAAAGTCGTCCTACAAAATAACCCTCCTCTTCTCTCTCGTCTCCCTCACACCATCCACGATTCTTTTCAAAGGTAAAGTGCAGGTTAATTTGTTTTATGTATTTTTAATTTATATTTTGTATTAACCATTTTATATGAATATTTTGGGTTGTGGAACGAATCATCTGAGTTTCCATTATTTCTAATGGGAAAATTAGCTTTGATATACGAGTGCTTTGGATTACAAGCACGTTTCTGGAACGAATTATGCCCGCAATCCGAGGTTTTACTGTACTATGGTATGCCATGTCACCTTTAAAACTGTACAAAAAATTTCACTACACAGCTTGTATTTGTGTTTGTTGCAATACACCTGCCCTCTCCTGCTCTGGTGGAATATCACTGCTGCATGCGCGCATCCGCAGCCGCATCTAAATGTAGCATGAACTTAGGGTGCCGCACGCATGACAATCTGCAGCCCAAAAGCGCACGTGGAACAGTGGCATATGAACTAGCCTTTAAAGAGTTAGGATTGTGTTGTTAAAAATTAAATCGCTGTATCTGCCCAAGGAACATATTTTAATCCATATTCCATAAACATTTGTGTGTGTGTAGTGAGGGCAGGGTTTGCTGAATATGATTTGAGTAAGTGGGAAAATCCGGCTAGTAATTCGGCCTAAAATGCCCAAGCATTATAACTGAAACAGTGTAGCACTGCGGCTTAGAGAGCAGCACTTTTGCCTGAACTCTGGGGTTGTGATATAAATCTATGTGTTTGCATGTTACTTTCATTTCCTCCAGCAGACAAGGCCAGTTAGACTAACTGGCATTGCTAAAATTGCCCATATTGTTTGTATGATTTGTAACTCCCAGAGTGGATCCCTGCTTTGTCCTCTATGCTGCTGGGGACAGGGTGCAGTACCCCTGTCACCCCGTCCATGATAAGCAGTTGGAACACAAATGGATGTAAAAGTTTACTTATTAAACAGAAGTCCAGAGTTAATTTGGTAGTATCCATGCAAAAGGCTGCAATATTTTTACAAATGGACAATGATGAGATGACACTGAACTAGTTAATATCAGCTCAATAGACTTAGATCTCATTGCCGGGGAGACAGCAGTGGCAGACCCTGGCAAGAGCAATTGCCCAGGGTGGCACCTTCAGAGGGGGCATCAACTTAGCAGAACATGGGAGCCAATCCACCACCCACAACTTTTCATGGCAAACACCAGCAATGAGGCTTTCCTAAGGCCGCACAAGGGCTTCAACTGCTACTGATAGACAGGGCTAAAGTACAAATGTCAGAGACAGACACCTTTGTTGACAGTTCTTTCTGTTACTCCCAACAGCCAATACTGACCAGTGACTGTACTGACATCTACTGGAAAGAAGGGCCTTACAGCCACAAATACTAGCATAAGTTTTCACTGACTCTTCTATTTCAAAACCTCAGTAAAGCTAGATTAATAAACTGCATGTTTCTGTAAGCCTGAAAAGAGAGATTTTCTTACCATATCTCTTTTTGCCGTAGATGATTCCAACAAGCAACGCCGACCACCTTGCAGTCTGCAGATAGAAACAATGCAGACAAGGTTACCAACCAAAAACCGTGCCTAAATTGATCACCTTAAAATCTGTAATAGATCAGCGACCAATAGGCGTTACATTATAAAGAATACGGCTTGGAACAATTAACGTTTAAAGTACATATAAAACCAATTACAGTCGAGCACATTAACACGCTAGAGGACGGCTATTCTCCAGCTGGGATTTGTCAAATAGTACAGAAAAATCTTACTTAAGTCAGTTTATGTGCAATTTGAAGGCGTTTTGTTTTATTTTCCCACTGACGCAGGACCAACAGCACCGGCCACAACTAGTGACCTTCAACTTAGTTATCCACAGACCACTGGAACAGTAATCTATCGGCAAGAAAATACTAAAGCAAATTAAGTACCATATGCCTATGCAGCTAGCTAAGGGAGACCGAAGTGATTCTTGACTTCCTGAAGGTCAGTCTTAACATCGCATCGAGTCGCCAAGGCCTATTTACTCGGCTCACCATCGGAAAGCGCTGCCTCAATGTCAATGGCATTTTAAAAATCATCTAATTATAGACCAGCCGTCAGTGATAACTGGGCACATTAAATCACTTCTTGAAACTAAGCACTACACTCGTACGACTCAAAATAAACGTACCTTAATAAGCGGAGAAACCTGCACAGGAGGCACCATTTTACCAGGGTACTTCTCCCGATCGCTAATAAAAAAGGAAATGACGAGAGGTCGGCGGTTTTCGGCTCATTTTGATGACGTCATTTCTAGTCGTGGCAGCTGCAGCGCATGTGCGCAATTTCCAACTCAATTCCCCATCATTGCTGTTACTCCCTGCGTCCTATCTGAATTCGCGATTGGAACATTCCAAGTTCCAGGTCGGAAACTTCAACTTGCCTTTCAGAAGGTATTAGATGTTTTATACATTATAGGAAAAATCTGAGAAATGGCCCGTCAAACAATAAATGTTGACCAAATTTTGTCTGGAAATAACTTAATTGTGACCTTGCCTTTCAGATGATATAAGACTTGTTTTCTGCATTATGGAAAAGTACAAATTTCACCGTATTTTAGTGAATCCTGTACTTCATACATATGACAATAAATCTGATACCGTAATGTTTTTTTTTCCTGTGCGTGCACCACACATTTTAAGCGCGGATACCATGACCGTAATAATAGGTTATTCTAACGTTTTAGAGGAGCAGCACTCACTCAATAACTATGGCGTTATTTGTCAATGCAGAAATATATGTGTGTACAGTCAGAGGTGGTGCCTGTACAAACTAAAAGGCCGACATATCTGAACCGTGGGTAATAGATTCGCATACTAACATTACATTGCTTGCTTATTTGTAATTTTCCCATGGTGTCCAGTATTACTGTTTGTCATATTCCAGATCACTTTGATACAGAGCATAACCACACAGTTTATGGACTAATTGTTTGGCGCATATTTCTGAATGTCTTTAAATGTGTTTACTTGTTGATATGTGTAGTCCAATATCCATTTTTTATCGTTGTTTTTGTTGTTATATCGAGTTTTATGAAATCGTAATGGAACCTGGTCAATATAATGTTAAGCGTTTAGACTAAAATCTTGCTTAATTACTTTTAACAGTATATAATATAGTTTTCGCAATTCATTTTTGATTGAACGTTAAGCTATAAGTTATGACTATAAATTTAAAGAGTGGCGCGACTATATCAGAACCTATAATATACATATTGATGGGTGCATGACACTATTCAATATGATCCATTAGCCGCAGAAATGGAGACAGGTGTCCGCGAATAGAGCAATGAGTCACTTCTTCTTTGCGGGTTATTGCGTCAGTATAGGAATGTAGACAGGGATTTGGCAGTGAATGCCGTTGCTGAAAATAAATATATATAATACGAAGCACTTAGCTCTTTCATAGAAATACTTGGGAATATGACTTCGGGTTATGAAAAATCGGCGTTGATGGAAAGACAATGGACAAGTTAAAGGGGATACGGGCGATTTGCAATGAGTCTTCACAACAAGCAGTTAGCAGAAACATGCGGATATGGAAGTCGCCACTGGAAATAGAACAATGTAATGCAGGGGAGGCATTTAACAGTTACTTTGCAGGAGCGTGAGCGGTTTGTTTTTAGAGTATGACCGAGCCTGATCAGCAGCAGCACACTCTGACCAACTCTGGTGGGTGGGCTTGGAATTTATCTGGAAGTTTCCATGTGGAGTATAAAAGCCAGACCAGAGGAAGCTGGGGCAGATGCAGTGAGGGCTCCAATCTCAGCAGATACCCAGACCACTCTGAACTATCGCCGAAAATGATGTACCCAGGATTGCTGCCGTCTTCATTCAGCCCATTGATGGATTTCAACTGGCCTGTGCGCAGCCTCTGGCCTGATACCCGGCCACTCTTCTTTAAGATTGAGCAAGAAATGATGAGGCACATGCAGGAGATGAGGCAGAGCATGGAGTTCATGGAGAGGCTTCATCAGAAAATCTTCGAGGAGATTGACCACATCCCAGCATCATTAACGTTCAAGCCCATATCGTTCAAGATGGATAATCAGGGTGAAAATTTTGCCCTAACCCTGGACACTAAGGACTTCTCCCCAGAGGAGCTGTCCATCAAGCAGGTGGACAGGAAGCTGATGGTGAGCGGGAAGACAGAGAAGAAACAGGACGATGGAAAGGGCTCGTACTCCTACAAACGACAGGAGTTCAGGCAGGAGCTTGACCTACCAGAAGGTGTGAACCCAGAAGATGTGACTTGTTCCCTCTCTGATGGGCAGCTTCAGATTAAAGGGCTGAGAGCAGTCAGGCCTGCGATAACTGAGAGAGTGGTGCCCATTGATTGTGCGCCAGCCTTGAAGAGTCCAGAAGTGCAGAGCGGAAACGTGGACGGCTGCGTCACTGACTCAAGCTCCTCCAAGGACTGATGACATTACAGCAGGCAAACTGGATTCACATCACATCTTGGTCCATAATTGAACTCTTTTCAGCACTTTCATGATGATATTATAATGAATTGGATGTGGTATTACTGTAATTCATGTTACTTACTAGATAAATGAGAGTAAATACATTTTGTATGCTTGCTACTTCCAATAAATTGTGAGTGTTTGAATCATTAAAAATGCATTTTATATGTGTGTGTGGGGACTTCTAAGGGAAAACACAAGCAGATTGTTTATATATTTTGCTTATATGATTCAGGGTGTCAGAGGGGCACAG